GAATACAGCCTGCTCCATGAGCGGGGCGCATTCCGTGTGGAAAAGGCGGGTAGTCTAATGAGAACATAAAGTAAACCTATGAAACGATTTAATCATTGCTATGATAGAGATGCTTTTTGAGTTCTCTAGCGATGTGCCTTTATCCAAAATCAAATCAAAACATGATATTCAGAAGAGGAGAATGAACCTCTGTCCACTTACATTTTTTTATTTTTTTCCTTGATACCCAAAATAATAAGTGGGCAGAGTAGTCGTGGATTCAAGACCGAATTAGCTAGGTAATTTAGATCCAGCTGGGGAATTCATCGTCACAAATTGGCCGGGCCAGAATTAACTGGATCCAACCCCCCACCCCTCCAAAGTTATACATTAATAAATAAATAAATGTCTGTGTGTGTGTGAGAGAGAGAGCCTTTTCTTTCTTTTGTAAAGACAAAGAAATTGGTTAACTGGAGGGCAATACCCCAAATTTAATATCTAGAGAGAATAAGAGAAAGATGAAGGTATAAGCACCCTTGTTTCATCTTAAAAGGAGGATGTGAGCCCCTGGCCCCCTATGATCGTGAAAAAATTAAACAAGAGAAAAGAAAACACTTGTTGCAGGAGATGCCCAAAGAACTCAAACACATGATTCAGTATTTTATGCTTGTGGCCAGAATATATCCTTATGAAATTCATCAATCTCAATTTAATTGTATTACAGGCTTACACTCTTAGCTATTATTAAACCACCTATCTTTTATCTTTTATGGCTGTTTTGATTAGGGGTGTCAATGAATCTATTTTGGGTTAGGCTTCGTTTAAATCAAAATTCATTTGGACAGATATATTGAATTTGGACGGATTGATTAAACCAATACGACATATTGGATTCAGCTAAGGATCTTACATGCGGTGGCCTAAGACATTTGGATCAAGTAACTTTTACTTTGGTTGGATCGGTGTGCCTGCACTGCACATTACACAATGTTTAGCCGAGCTGCATCCTGCCCGAATGAACTCAACCCAAGCCGCTGCGCACATCATACTTCATAGTAAAAGTGTTCACACACAAATAAAGGTAATTAATAATCTGCGAATATTTCTTGATATGGGCTAGTGGGTCGAATGAAGCACTGGTCTGGGGCCTCTGGGCTAAGACGGTTTCAAAGTTCATCAGCTTCAACTCTAGTATAATTTAGTTGGTGACTGCCCATATATAACTTGCTGAAGCCGGGAGGAGTGCCCAAAGGGTTCGTCATGTCCAGCCCAAGTTGTAGCCCTGATTTTAGGAGTTAGGACAGATACATGGGCCAGGATTTGTCCTATGATGAGTTAATTTCAACTTCCAACCCTAGCAGTAGATACTAAATACCCACCACTCCTCTGACCTCTCTCTTGAGTCTTGATTGATTGGCTGCCGGAGTTTTCGTCCGTCTGCATTGCAATATTGTGCGTGTGACATGCAAGCTGGTAGGGTTTCTTAATTTGTTTCAACTTTCAAATGCTAGAACTCAAAGTGCTATTGTGCTGTCATAGCTTACTCCCGAGTGTGAGAGAGACAAATAGACCAAACCTTCACATTTCTTCTTCCTGTTGCATGTCAAATAAGTAGAGAGAGGACTCTGTTCAAGCTTTGATATTACCCACTCTTTTAACTTGCAATTTGTGTTTCCAAAGCCGTGATTGTTACGCATCAACTTAAACTTATTTTATGTTTGATGGTAACGATTTTGTTTGGATAGCTACATACAAGGCTACATGGGCTTTCATCCATCTACGAGCTTCCAAGGCTAACAAATTAATAGGGGGCGGGGCGCTTACTTGATTCAGTGGCACTAACATTGGACAGCTGGTACTACACTACTGCTGAATTCAATATCACTTCCAATTCAAAAGGATTTGATTACCCAATTAATTAATTTCACCACTGATCCACTAAATTATGTTAATGAGGGCAAAATATCATAAGAGAACGCTCCAACAGTGAGAGTCCTCCTGCTTATCACTTACGTGGGCTTCTCACTCTCAAGGGCCCATCGTCAACTGACATTATGAGCCAGTGAATGACGAACACGTACGCTAAACTGTGACAGATGATCAGTGCATTTACCGCCATTTCTTTAGGCTACGTTTGTTTGGGTGAAAAATCGAATTGAGGTTAACTTTACATTCTGGTTCGATTTTACTGACGTTTGATAAATATGTAATTTTATACTAAAAATCAGTGTAAAATTATATTTTAAATTTTATTTACATTGATAATCGATGTAATGAATACATCAAAATTATCAATGTAAAAGGTAACTGCTCTTTCTTCCTTTCTCTTCTTCTTCTTCTTTTTCTTTTTCTCTCACTCTCTCTCTTTCTTCTTCCCCCATTTTTTTTTCTTTCCGTTATCGCCGCTGCAACCAATTGCAGCGACAGATCTGAATTCACCTCCCATCTGTCTCTCTTTCGTTCTCACTTCTCCTCCTCCTTTTTCTTCTTCTTCTTCCTCCGCTTCCTCTCCTTTTTCTTCTTCTTATTCTTCTTCTACTTCCCTCCTCATCTGCTAGGATTTTCATCCGGTTCTCGCCCTTTGTTCTGGTGTCTCATCGAATGCAACGTTGCTGGGTATATCTGGCGAGCCAACACGGATGACCAAATCCGGAGATGTCAGTGAAAATCCCAACAATGAGCAACCTGGAAAACAAAGATCCAAATAAACAAATCTTCAGAAAGAAAACCCAAATAGAAATGTAAGTTCTGATCGTTTCTCATAGGAAGATTGGAAAGATCACAACCGAATCGAGTGCAGAGAAATGAGACTGGATGTAAGAGAACCTGAGCATAGTGTTTGCTTTTTCTGCTTTTTTCTTTTTTGTCGGAGATTGGATGTAAGAGAACAAGTATCGGAAGCTGAATCAAGTCCAGAAGCGTTTTCTCTATAACTTAGGTTTTCCCTCTTTTTTCTAACCTAGGAACAAAAGGTTGTATTTGTTTGCGATACAAACACTGAATCGGGGTATTTATGCACTATGGTTTGCATTTGCAAGCATTTGTTTGAAACGTAAAATAGTAATGATTATCAAAGTAAAATTGCATTTTCTGACACTTTTGTACTCTAAAAAGAGAGTATTATTGTACCTTTTTTTTTATACAAATTTGTATTCATTTGATAATTTATGTTTTGACCAAAGTTGAGGCATTGGAGCCTAAGATAGTTGGAGCAGTTAATGATGGGCCCACACCTTTGCACCAATTTCAAACAAACAGGATGAATGAAAAAACGATTTAAAATGTAAACCATGTTTGCATTCCGAAAAATGGATAAATATATAGTATACATATTTGCATTTGCATTGCAAACAAACGCAACCAAATAAACACTTTTGTTGACTTCTCAAAGTTCAGACTTCTGATTTCTAAGTTGTCTCGTCTTTGAGAGGAGAGAGAGTTGGGACTTAGTTAGAGGGGTGGAGATTTACATGATGGGTATTCTCCAAACACATACAAAAGTCTAACATTACTTTAAAACCGATCATCCAAATGCAGAAGTGTAAATGGGTATAAAAGCCGATTCAAGTTTTACACTCAAAAAATTTGACAGTTGTTAAACTCCTGAGTGTAATTTTGTATTTATACCACAAACAAATGCAGCCTTAATTAATTCATTACTCAACAAATACTCCTTTGAGCTGTTGAATTTAACACTTCGATCTTTCTATTAGAATTCAATTTATTAACTTCAAGAAGGACTCTCATTTGACTGTTATGTCTTTGTTAAATGTTTTTAAATTCCTAAATTATTCTTTCCTTTCTCTTACATATTTGTATAAATTTTTCATTTATCCTTTTTCTCATACATGCTTTACCCTACATATTTTGTCATTTTGGAATATAATATCGTCTTTTCACCCAGTATTTTCAAACCACCATTAACCTGAACAGTCGGACCGTTTGACCCAAAAATCATCTAGGCAACTGGTTTCATTTCATCCTCAACCCAATCCTTAATAAAAAATCAATGATTTGGTCAATGACTCACTGACTAGGGTGGTTAAATCATTGGCCTGTTTGTCCCATTCAACGATTTGACCTTTTAATTTATTTTTTTAGATAGAATGGCACAGTCAAACTATCAACCTGAAAAACCGATGGCCAAAAAGGTTCCAGTTCCAATTGTATTTTTAAAATCTTACTTTCACCATACAAATATTGGAGGGATATTTTAATAAATTAACTTTTTTTTTGACAATGCAACAATCCAGTTAAGGGTGAGCATTCGGTTTATTCGGTTAAAAACCAAATCAAATAAATTAAAATTTAAAAAATTGAATTAAAAAAATGAAAATCAAACCAAAACCGAATTAGAAGAAAACCGAAATAATCAAATCCAAAATTTTGGTTCAGTTTTTGGCTAAAATCAAATTTCAAAAATATATGCTATATTATATATTATATATATCATAACATATAATATATAAATATATATTATGAAATCAAATTTTATTATATTAGATATTATATATTAAATATTATATATTATATGCTATATAGCAAAATTCGGTTGATTTGATTTTTTCGATTAACCGAACTTCTAATTTTAAAAACTGAAATCAAAATATTTAAAAACCAAAAAATTGAACAAAATTAAAAAATCAAAATATAAAAAATTTTTTATTCGATTTTTCTGTTTTAACTGAATAATGCTCTCTCTTAAAATGCAGTTTGTAAGAGGAGCAAAATGTTGAAATCCGAAAGTTGAGGCGTCTTTATCGCAAATGAGTTCGGGGACCAAGTGTCGTTACCCCCGGTACAACGTGATAATATGTAATTTAACAAAAAAGAAAGAGAAAATCTTCAGTCATCTGATAACCTTGCACTGGGAATATCTAACCATGAAGGAAAGCACATAAGTAGGGAGATATTCCTAATCCAAGGCTGTAAAGGTTGTGCGAACAGGCTTTGCTCTAACTGAAGCCGGACTCTCTGATGATATTTCCCTAGTCCTTCTTACATTTGTTACTTATTTAATAATTTGTTATCTATCCGGCTGGAACGAACCCTCATTCCTTCTCAGCCAGCTATCGGCAGACTGTCGAAGCCGTCTCCACTCTACCGACTTCATTCCGTTCTCTCCCGGTTGGGGAAGCTGAACTTGGGCATATGGGACACACTATTCTTCTCCCGGACGCTCTTGTCACCGCCCGGCTCTGCTCGACTTCCGCCACCACCTCCGCCTCCTCTCCCGCACTCTTTCATCAGCTGCCTTGTATTCTTTCGTCCTCCCGCCCAAGACCTTCATCCCTTACTCGTTCTCTGTCTCATCGTCTCGATGTCTCCGACCGTGGTGCCAGGTTTCGTGTGCCCTCTTCTGTTGCTGGAAGCGGCGCTTTGATGGCCAACTCCGTGCCGGTTTGTTACTTTCTCCTTTAATCTCCCCCCTTTTGTCAATTATCTGCTCTTACTCCTCATTTATGATGCTCACAGTCGATATTTTTTAGGATTGAATTACCTCCTCACTTATTTCTCTAGAATGGGAGAAGAAACCTCGCCAAACTCTAGATTTCTCAAGATTTACTGCTTCAGCTTTCTTGTTTTTGGGATTCTTTGTAAATCATCCTTCTGTTTCCTTGGCTCAATCTTTCTTCATTCACGTTGTCAAAATTCAATTAAGCTCCAACTTTGGCTTTAGGATTGATTAAATCATGGCAGTATTGAGTTAGTGATAGAAGGTAATAACCTTGATATTAAAAAAAAGGGATATTAGTAGAGAAATCATCTATTTGGATAATAAACCTCTTAATCTTTGACAACCTTGAATTACATCTGCTTTCATCTTTCTAGGATTCTGTCGTCCCACAGCAATTACTAATGCAACCTACTCCACATAAATTGCAGCTGCTTTTTTAGAACGTATAGTTCTTGTGTTTTTCTTTTTCTTAGGTTTGAAAACTAAATTTGTAAAGAACAGTAAAGGTGACCAAGGCCTCAGAAGAAAATTTCTCATTGGTTAATCTGCCAATATATGGAGGCTAGGAATGTGAAACATGGTACAAGTAGTAGTAAAGACTCTAATTGACATATCAATCGAAATGACAGTATTTGTTAGTCAGCAAGTGGTATGCATCGGGTAAAATCACACCCACAAAGCCCTATTACCATAAATAAGGCAGTTTTTGTCTTCGTTCTTTCTTTTTTCTTTTTTCTTTATATATATATGCAGGAGATCATTACTAAATTCAGCAAGAATGTGCAGAAAAGAAAATAAGAGCAAAACACAACCACGAAATGGATTTATAGTGGTTTCCCACAAACTGAAATGGTTTCCCTTTTTTGTTCCATGGAATGATTCACATGTTAACTTGCTAAGGCTCCAACTTAGGGCAATGTCTACGGCTAAAGGATGACAAAGTTTCCAATGTAAATATGAATTTACATGGTTATGGATCAAATAATGGATTAATGTAGATATGGATTTATTGTGGGTTTCATCTTTTGATTACCTCTTTTTATTTTTTTTGTGTTGTTTTAACTTTGTATATTGCACATTTACATTTTCTCTTTATCTGCAGCCAAAAAATGGTGTGTACACAGTGGGAGATTTTATGACAAAAAAAGAGGATTTACACGTGGTAAAGCCTAACACAACTGTTGATGAAGGTACATGCAATTCTCAGTTCTCACATTTCTGTATAAATTGTAAATTATGTTATGATTCTTCACTTTCTTATGCATCAACAGCATTAGAGACTCTCGTTAAGAACAGGATTACTGGTTTTCCTGTGATTGATGATGACTGGAAATTGGTATGTGCTTGACTAATCTTCTTGTAATTCAGCTTTTATAACACATTATTTTATGAATTATATCCAGGAATATTACATGTTAATTTTCTCTGAGGTGCTTGTTATCTTTTACTTTTTGGTCATTAAATTTGGATTTATGATTTAAGCAATGAACTTATGTCATGCTATCCGGATAGCTAGGGCCAGCATTTGGTAATGTAATGTCTCTTTTTTAATGCTTCTTAGACATTTAAGACATTTTACTCGGAATTTGGACAAATGGATCTGAATTCTTTAGAGATGTTAACTGAAGAAGGGGGTTTTGTGTGGTGGAAAGATGCCTATTGTGTGATAAGAGGGAAGAAAATGACCTTTTGATAGTAAGAAGTGATCTTGGCATGACCCCCTTTCTATTTAGGGTTTTGGGGATAAAATTTTATGGAATATGATCCCTTTTGTCATTTGTGGAATGACAAAATGGAAAGATCCTTTAGAATGCTGCTTGTCCATCGTCAAGGATTTTAGGAGAACATTTTCTCTATTTTTGTGGATAGGTCTTGTTTCTACTGTTGCTACAGTAGTCCGAACCAGTAAGGAGAAGAAGAAAGAGAAGGAGAAGAAGAAGAAGAAGAGAAGAAGAAGAAGAAGATGAAA